ACCGATGGACCTCGCAAATGAGATGGGCGGTGCATTTAGACATGCGTCGTTGGTGCAGCACCCGCACATCGCTCCAAAAGCAATCATAAAAATCGGAGTCGTTCTCAAAATGAAGAGGCAAGGGCGACGGGGGTGCAGCAGTTGAAGAGGGCAAACATTGGAGAGCGGGCAGAGAAGGAAGAAGGGTAGTAGAAGGAAGAGGGGCGCAGCAGTTCGGGACTGAGTTGCATTCTTCGAGGTCTTTGCAGACGCATCGACGAACCTGGCTCAGTCCGCAAGGAGCTTTGCTGGCTTCGTTGCGTTGTTGATTATCATGGTGAACGATGAAGATGAAGCAGTGTTGCGCGTTGTCATTTCGTGGGATTCTTTCTTCTTGGCTTGGCCTCCTGCTTGCAGCGAAAAGCAGAACCTGGCCTCCGTCACGCCGACGTCACGCCAGCAAGGATGGAACACCAACAAAAGAGACAGAACAACAACAAGAGGCAATTACACAGAGTGCGTGTAATTGCACGGGCACCTACTGCCAGGACCTCGTCGCCGACGGCAGTTCGACCAACGAGTCACTCATCGTCGCCCTGAGTACCTTAATCTCCCTCGAGCCTCTCCCTTTTCTCTCTCTCCCCCCTCTCCCCAAGGTGTGGCTCTGCCGGCGGCTGCCGTGCTGTTCCTGCTGCTGGCTTGCATCATCCTGCTGCTCCTGTTGGTCCAGTTCAGACGAAGGGACCGCGACGATTGGGAGATCCAGTACGAGGAACTCGAGGTTGGCGACGTGCTCGGCACCGGCGGCTTCGGCGAAGTATACCGGGCGCTGTGGAAGGGTACCGAAGTGGCCGTCAAGGTCATGGCCTCGGAGAAGGCCTCCAAGGACATGGAGCGGAGCTTCAAGGACGAGGTACGTCGCACCGCCACCGACCTCTTCCTCGGCCGCCGCCGGTGATGGGTGAATGCTCACATTATTGGGTGAATGATCAGGTGCGGGTGATGATGGCGTTGTGGCATCCCAACGTGGTGCTGTTCATGGCCGCATGCATCAAGCCTCCGAAGATGTGTATCGTGATGGAGTTCATGGCCCTGGGATCCCTCTACGACGTACGCTCCCCGATCGAGCTATGGGATCTAACTGGCTACAGCCACACAACTTCATTGCTCACATTCTTCTCTTTAAACAGCTGCTGCACAACGAGCTTATTCCTGAAATTCCTTTCGCGCTGAAGGTACGGGGGGGAGGTCGCGTGTAGGCGGGCGGTGGGCATTTTCTTATTCGCCGAGCGTAGTTGGCTAATGCGTCGTTGTTCGTCCCAAAGGTCAAGGTGGCCTACCAGGCCTCCAAGGGCATGCACTTTTTGCACTCGTCGGGCATCGTTCATCGTGATCTAAAGTCCCTCAATCTTCTGCTGGATTCCAAGTGGAACGTCAAGGTAAGGCGCAACGCCAACACGCAACGCTCGCGCACAATGCCAACTCTCCACACGGACACGTCTGAAATTTGTTTACAGGTGAGTGACTTTGGTCTGACCAAGTTCAAGGAGGACATGAAGAAGGGCGATGCGAAGAACATGGTGGGCAGCGTGCATTGGACCGCGCCGGAGATCCTCCAGGAGACCCCCGACGTGGATTTCATCCTCGCCGACGTCTACTCCTTCGGCATCATCATGTGGGAGCTCCTCACCCGTGAGCAGCCCTACTTTGGCATGAGGTGCGTACCACCAGCACCAGCACCAGCACCAGCACCAGCACCAGCACCAGCACCAGCACCAGCACCAGCACCAGCACCAGCACCAGCACCAGCACCAGCACCAGCACCAGCACCAGCACCAGCACCAGCACCAGCACCAGCACCAGCACCAGCACCAGCACCAGCACCAGCACCAGCACCAGCACCAGCACCAGCACCAACATCCACACCAGCGCCACCACCGAGAACCCAACCACCCACCACCAGTATCTGTCACTTGGAGTGGTGAGATTGTGGGCTGACCATTATATGACCTTTTCCCCTCACAGCCCTGCAGCGGTGGCTGTGTCGGTGTTGCGGGACGGGCTTCGGCCGCAGTTGCCGGAGGGCGACGATGCGGGTCCGGCCGAGTACACGGACATCATCACCAACTGCTGGCACACGGACCCCAGCGTGCGACCGACGTTCCTCGAGGTGATGACGCGCCTCAGCGGGATGGTGGGCGACGCCACCGGTGGCGCGTCGGCCTCGTTCACCTCGACGTCGTCCAAGGGCGGCAAGAGCATCTACGGCTCGTCGTGGTCCGTTCCGGGCTCCTCGACCAACAGCACCAACTCGCGCGGCAGCAAGAGCTCCCAGTCGAGCAACTCGTCTCAAAGTGGCGTGGAGGGCGCCGCGGCAGCGACCGACATGCGCCCGCCCGAGGGCGACATCACGATCGTCTTCACCGACATCTCGCGCGCCGCATCGCTGTGGGAGTTCAACCCGATCGCCATGCGCGACGCCACAGTGCTCCACAAC